TTTTTTGCTTGCTGTGTATGTGCATAATGCATTTCTTTTTAAAAGTCGAGTAAATGAAGCAAAGCAGATACTCTTTCTGACTTAAAAAGATGCCACACTACACAGCAAAGCAAAACTGCACTGTATCGATAGCTGTGTATGTAAGAGGGGTGGGGGTGTATGCTAAAGCGAGTCTTGCAGGATCCCTTCTGGGAAGTCGGAAGCAGTTAATTCTGCTTTCACTCTGACCGAAGATGACTCCAAACAAGCGCAGCAAGCAGCATCTGGACCTTTCTGAACACACAAACAGGCTGTATCGAGAGCTGTGTATGTAAGAGGGGGAAGGGTGTATGCTAAAGCAAGCCTTGCAGGATCCCTTCTGGGAAGTCGGAAGCAGTTAATTCTGCTTTTGCTCTGACCGAAGACGACTCCAAACAAGAGCAGCAAGCAGCATCTGGACCTTTCTGAACACACAGGTGGGCTGTATTGATAGCTGTGTATGTAAGAGGGGAGAGGGTGTATGCTAAAGCGAGCCTTGCAGGATCCCTTCTGGGAAGTCGAAAGCAACTAATTTTGCTTTCGCTCTGATCGAAGACGACTCCAAACAAGTGCAGCAAGCAGCATCTGGACCTTTCTGAACACACAAACAGGCTGTATCGATAGCTGTGTATGCAAGAGGGAAGAGGGTGTATGCTAAAGCGAGCCTAGCAGGATCCCTTCTGGAAAGTCGGAAGCAGTTAATTCTGCTTTTGCTCTGACTGAAGATGACTCCAAACAAGTGCAGCAAGCAGCATCTGAACCTTTTTGAACACACAAGCAGGCTATACCAATAATTGTGTATGCAAGAGGGAAAAGGGAGTATGCTTAAGCGAGCCTTGCAGGATTCCTTCTGGGAAGTCGGAAGCAGTTAATTCTGCTTTCGCTCTGGCTGAAGACGACTCCAAACAAGTGCAGCAAGCAGCATCTGAACCTTTCTGAACACACAAGCAGGCTGTACCGATAGTTGTGTATGCAAGAGGGAAAAGGGTATATGCTTAAGCGAGCCTTGCAGGATTTCTTCTGGGAAGTCGGAAGCAATTAATTTTGCTTTTGCTCTCCCTGTAAAAAAAAATAAAAAACAAAAATCCAGTTTTTTAGTTCCGGAAAATCACGGGTTTTGTTAACAAATTTCCGGATTAAAATCTGATAAAAAACTG